GAGGGAGGGAGAGAGGGAGAGAGAGAGAGCAAGCGAGGGATAGAGAGAGGAAGATTGAGTGACTGCAGGAATAAAATGGTAAAAATAATCACGTTCTCGATTACTTTTTCCTAACGCTCAGGTCTCCGTTTGGTGCGCGCGCGCGTGTGTGCTTGTGCGTGCGCGCGTGCGTGTGTATGTGCGTGCGTGTGTGTGTCTACTCACGTTAGCGTGTGTGCGTGTGTACATGTATGCGTGCGCGTGTTATGTCAAACGATCACCGCTAATATGTTTGACTGTTAGGCTGTGCGCGAATTGAATAAATGATATCGAGTATACTACATATGATTGCGCCGTTAATATAAATATTAATGGAAGAAATTTAAATCTTTTATTCATGCAAGCCGGGCAAATGACTGCGCGATAATTAACATAAAGAAAAATAATAGAACGATAATTAAAATTACGAAAATTTTAAATTCTCGCGCGACAGCCGAAAGACCGACATAATTTTCGAACGCGTCGGCCAGAGCTATTTGCTTTGGTCTTAGTTCTATTTACCACCGGGTCTAGACTTTGGTCCCCCACACTCGCGTTTCGGCTGCCAGTTACTCTCTCTCTAGCAGTCGAAATTAACATTTTGACCACAACGAGAGGGCTCTTTCGAGAGGGTTTTACAGAAATTTTTTTCCGCCCTTTCCTCCGCAGTTATATCACGGCGCGTGAGTTCGTCGCTGTGCCGACGTGTAATATATAAATGCAGTACGTCAAATCTAGGCGAAGATCGCTACGTACTGCGCACACGGGGAACAATTTTCCCGGGGTAGAACTCTCTCTCCATGAGAGAGAAATATGCGCGAACTGTGTAGACACAACGCGCAATAAATTACACGGGCATTAGTCGTAGGCACACAAGTTAATAATTCGCCAGCTTGCAACTGATTTGCAAACATTTTGTCACGACAATAAATAAATGGCGGTGACACGCCATCTTAGCCGAGCCACGGCCGCGAGGTTTTATGATTTTACGGGCGGCGGGGAGGTAATCACAGAACAAACTAGCTCCGTGCGATCGCTCTCGCTCATAAATCCAACGTTATCCCCACGAGAGGGGCAAATATGTTTATGTTGTTCCACCGCGGCCATGTGCCGGTGCGTGTGCGTCGTGTCTCGTCGTCGCATTGACGTGTCGCTAGGGGTGCGCGCACGCACACGCACGCACGCGCGCACGTGTACGCGCGCGCTTAGATGCGCGCACGCGCGTTCGTACACGCGCGCGTGTGCATGTTCGCGCGAGCGATGGACAAGTGCGTCCGTGCACATAGACATGGATATTTATGTGCTTGCGCGCGCGCGTGTATTCGTGCGCGCGCGTGCGTGCGTGCGTACGTGTGTGCTTACGTGGGTACGTGCGTGCGTGCGTGTGTCTGTCATTGTATTTCAACGCGCGTTTAAAAATTNTATATAATAATATATATATATATATATATATATATAATAATAATATAAATATATATAATAATAATATTATATATATATATATATATATATATATATATATATTACATTAATTTATAAATTTATGTACACAAATAAATAAATATAAAAACGTAAATATAAAAATACATAGATATATTTATTTAATTATATTTATTTTTATTTAATCATGCTCCGTGAAACTGTATATATATAATATATATTTGTATTAATACACTCGAACAGCCGCGACAATCAAATACAGCCGTATGTCACAGCCGCTCCCAAACCCCCAGATAAATTCTAAATTCCACACACTGAAAATTACACACGTTGATTTATATTAATTAATTTCTCCCCCATCATCGGTTTAACACCGAACTGACAATCACGGAACAGCCGAACTAGCATATGATCGTAGACGAGGTAATAATGATTGCGGTGCTAAAAAAAAAAAATTTGCAAATCAATTCGAAATTTTTTGATATCCGTCGATGTTGATGTCGGTGACGAGATGTGCAGAACTGAGAAGTGCATATCGCGTTTCTCTGCAGGAGTGAGAATTATAATGAATGCGAGAGAGATGATAACCGAGGCGTTGTGTGAAGCGCTCCTGCATCTATCCTATCCCGCGTCCGTCATCATTATTAATACATCCATCCTCATCACCCCACAGTGTTAGTGTGTGTGTGTGTGTGTGT